GGCTTCGCTCCCCACAGTAATGTGGCAGTTAATTCAGTATGGAACACTCGTTCATAAAACATCCACTGAGTCCCCCTTTTAGTTTTTTTCCAAATCAAGCACAGTTCAACCCTAGACACGATAAAAAAGTATTATACACTACATACTATGTGCTATATAGTAATATTATACAGCCGTACTATTATACTAACCGTGCAGGGAGAGGGTTGTGAATACCCCCCCCCCACCACCGAAATGTTCAGCAATAATTAATTCCTTGTGAGATGTATTTTTTGGTCAATTATAATCGCCAATAACCCCCCGGTACCTTCCAAGGTTCAGCCCACAGTACAACTCCACTGGTAACATATAGGTAGTATAACCATTAATTATAATACTTTATGAAATAGCCCTAATAGGTATATAGGTACATACACTGAAAAAATGAATCTATAGCATCGGTGTTATAAAAATTATACAATTAATATTATATTATGATAAGTTTAACATGATCTAGTGTTCCTTACAAGTTACAAGTACTATATTATATTCTACGAATTTGTTGTCATCTCTCCAGCGAGATGGCGCAAGCACGGGTGAAATATATTCGCCACAAAACACGATTGTATACTTTCGTAGACAATTATATTGTAGAAATGTAGGCTATGGTTTAAGACAAGATATGTAGTTAAAAGCATAAAACAGTGAACAAACCTATCGTCAAAAAAATGATCCGTAATTTGACGACATTTAGTTATTCACCAAAAGCAAAGGCTGAAAGGCCTATTATTTATTTATTATTATTTTTTAATATTTATTAATTTAATTGTGTCAATACACCAGGTATTTTTAAATCCCGATATTTTTGAGTCACAGATTGTTCTCTTTCTTAGCTAATTTTTATATTTTGAAAATTTGACCTACCATTGCCGTAAGCTTTAAAATACTTACTAAATATTCCCTAAACATTTACCCAACGGCCAATCAATTGAGTTAATTTATATATATGTATATAAATACTTTAGGTTCTTATTACTTAGCCGCATATAAAACTTTGTTATTTAGTACAACATATGGTATAATTTCTACTACACTTGAGATTTGAGACTTCGTAGGATATCTTAAAACTATAAAAAAATATTTATTCAAATCGGAAAAATATAATAAAATTAAGTACTGCATTCCTTATTGTAAAACACTACCTATACAAAAGTAGTACTTTTGGTATAGGTACCCAAAGCATCATTAGATTTGTGGGAAAATGCAATAGGTACAAATTTGTATGGGAATTTTCTCATTTCCCAAAAGCATTTCGAGGAAGAGGTATTATTAGGATATGGGTATCAGGTACTGAGTATATTTAGTAGAATATATTTTGGAAGAATGTGGTTTCTACTGTTTCTAGTATGTGTTAACTGCTAAGTTTAATCAGGACTAATAAATATATTGGTTATTTGGTTGTATTATAGCTTGTCACCATACATATACTGATATACTAAGCTTGATTTTTACTCTGTAGGTGGTAGTTTCACATACTAAATAAGTACTGAAAATTAAATTAAATGTATAAGTGTATTAGAATTACCTTTTAAATGTAGATCAAGCATCTACTGTTGTTGATACAAATTCAACCAAATTTATAGCTATTATTTATGTGTTTCATTAAAGTCTGGAGACATAATACAGCTCCTTCAGGATAGCCTTTAGAAATAATTGTTTTAAGACTTTCATAAGATATTAAATTGAATAGTATACTTGCATTTATTATGACTTCTAAGTTGATCAAGGTCTTCTGTAAAATACAATCTAAGTTAGGTAGGTCGTACTGTCTAAGTCTTACTAATATAGAAATACACGTACATGCTATTACTATATTATATTATTATTTATTATACTAAATCAACAGTACCTTGAGAAGTCAAATTTTTACGATTTGAACAATTAAGTATTGACATTTGAACAGTATTTACATTTTTGATTTTTTTTTATATCAGAATTATCATGAATTTTAGAGTTGACTTATCTTTTAACATCTATTGAAACAGTAGTAGCAGGAGCTAGTAATTCTCTAACAGACTTGACATTACTATGTTTATCCCATGCATTTTAGAACATTTAGGTAAAAATAATAAATATTGATGGTACTAAGTAATTTTTATATCCGATAATTTATACAATTTCACTTAATTTGTACAATCATAGAATCTAAGGACTAAGAAGGCACACAGGACAGTTGTTACAATTACATAGTAATAATAAATATGCATTTAGAATAAATTATCCATTAGGTACCTACTTACTTTCAAATGCTTGCGAAGATTTTATGGGGCACGTGAATCAGCAGTACGTGTCTTCGCACAAATACAATGTTTGCAAGATACTTCGTACGTAGTGTACAACTCGCAACTATTTATTATTTTAATAACTTTATAATGAATGTTATAAATATTCCACGGGAAGAATTAGTTTATTTTTGTTATCCATGCTAGTTAAGTCTTTAATTTAAAAATTTAAAATATACAGAGTATTTTAAAACAATTCTAGCCAGGACTCACGACACAGAACAATAAAATTACAACAATTTCCAATGAGTAGTGCCTGGTGACTGACTAGAAACTAACGTAAAATGTCAATACATAAGAAAATAACTTTTAAGGATTATTAAAATATTAACGAATAACGAGTGACAGAGTGTGTGTGGGATACTGGGATTCGGGGTATCGACGTGCTATGATAATGATACTATGAACTATAAATAGCCAAACAGATATACGAAATACGGGAAATATTATTTTTCCCATAATATCTTTGTTCGTCGATAACAACATTTATAATCGTCAATCGTCATGTCTTTAATTCATCGACGATAAACAATTTCTTCATAATCGATCTTAGATTATATACAATTGATCTAAGTAATCGATAAACCAAACTAAATAGTAAATATCTTGCTTGAAAATTGTGTATTTAGTATTTTTAAATACAAAATATAATAATAAGTGTTTAAAATATACTTGAAATACTTCTGCCTAAAAGTATTTAAAATGTATTTAAAATACAGATAAAGTATTTAAGTATTAATATTTAAATAGGTCTTTAACAAGTATGTAGTTTGATTATTGTAATAAAATAATAAAATCTATATGACTTACATTCTAATATTAAATTACTGTTAAACTTGTACAATTGTCAGTTTGATAGCAGACTTCAATAAAATGTTTGGAAAATAGTATAAAATTGTTAAATTAAATTAGTAAAAACAAAGAACAAACAAAAAAGAAAACTAAAAAAGAATTACGACATTTAAAATTCAGCAGGCAGCCAGCAGCGACACCGTAATATAATTTTCTCTCACAGAGAGCGCTTGCTGTAATTTCCAGCACCATAAAGAACTCAATTTGGTACCTACCACCTACCTTATCATATGCTGATGGGCAACCTGTAAGGTTGTGAATCTTAAATCGTGGTCTGGATTTCTGGAATAATATATTATTATGTATAAATTATAAATAATGATTTAAAAGTACTATTATTATTGTGCTATGCTATTATTATATTACAATATTATGATGTAGGTATCAATTTAACTCATTTTATTCTGGTTGTTGATCATAGAAATTGAAAGCTTATATTCATATAACAGTAAGTGTAAGGTACTAAGGTGCATATTATATTATTATATAATATATACCTAACGGCTAATACGTTTCAGATAGGTGTATAGACGAGATAAATATAGGGATTAATATTAGCACATGAGCGTGCTTACAGGTTTCTGGGTCAAAAAGCTCGACAAATTGTTATTAAAGTAGTTGATACATATTAAGGCATGATTTTTATTATAAGTACTTAAAGTTCAAATATTGACAAAATTTATCAAAATCTCGAACATTTTAAAATTACATTGTAGTTACAAATAGTTCTACTTCAAAGATTAAAATTTAAAATTTAAATCAAGGATTCTCATAAATAGTTTATAATGTAACCAAAAAATCTGCGAAATATATAAAATTATAAACACAGTTATTATAATTACAGACCATTTTAAGTTCAAATTCGGTCAAAACTACATATTAAAAGCAAGAATATTGATTTTTGCAGTCGTCGTAACTAGAATTTGTATTATTCAATAAATCACATGTACCTATTTAAAATCTCCATTTTATCATCATCAGTTATTCAGTTACTGCTAAGGGTAGTGCATTATGTTTATTTTTATTCACTTTAAATAGAAAAATTGCGGATGTTATGACTTCATCAAATGTTAGTAGAGCATGCAATAGAATTTTTTTAATAATATTTGTTTTATAGCAGTTTTAAACTGTACCACATTAGAACTATTATTTGCTCCATATCTTTGACGTTTACGTCCAAATAACAATTCAATATGATCTTGTGAAAAATAATAGGTTTCCGTAAACAGTTTTGTAGATATTACAAACATTGATTTTACCAAGAGTCATGACTAAATATATCTATTTAGTCATGGATTTTACACCGATTAAAACACAATAATAAATGTTTTTTTGTTTGTAGTGAAAAGCAGTTTGTTTTTATATTTAAGACAGAAGAAAAAGTTGATGAAAGCATTTATATTGTTCTGTTATAAAAGGAAACATTTTAGATTTTTTAAAAAATGTTAAATTTGATTTAAAAATAGGGCTTTTATAACCTTTTGAAATTGGATTTCTGGAATTTAAAAAATCAAATAATTTATCTATTTTTTGGTTATGAATATCACTGTTTGACTCTGGTATGGACCACGATTTAATATATACAGGATACTCAAAGCAGTATAGAAAATAGAAATAATTTAGTCTCCAGAGCACGATGTAGGTGATTTTATCTACATCGTGCTCCAGAGTGATGCTCGCAGCATGCAGACATGCAGTTTATGCCCAAAAATCAGCTGTTCACCTACTACATAAATTTCCGCTTGGGCGCTAGCTACGCTTCCCGCAGGCCGCAATCGAGGATAAACATCGGGCATCAAAAATAATGCTGCGTTGAGAAACCTGTATATCTTAAATTGTGTGCAGTCGGCTAATAAAGGCTTTTTGTGTGTATCTGTGGACTGTGATTACACCAAAACAAAATCCATCCATATTCTGTTATCATAGTTCTTTTGATTAAACGAAATTGCAAAATATCATCCACATAGGTATATTTCACTATTTCGCATTCCATAACATTCGCCCATAGGTACAACGCCGACGGACAACTAATCACTCGCCTTTGAATCTTCGGACACGAATTCATTTTCTTATCATCTTATCAATGAATATTAAATAAAAATTAAAATATGTTGTACTTTTTAAATATGTTTTAAATGTTTTAATAATATAACATTCCGTCATCAAAAATAGTATAACTAGTTTGTTATTATAATACCTATCTTTATCCACCTACTATTCATTTGATCATCACGTCACGAGTCAGAAATGTCTTGCTGGTCCTCAAAAATAAAATGTAAGTTGAATTCGCCTTCTTGAATACCATGGCTTGATTTTAAATTAAAATTGTACCAATTTTATTTATTTTTCATGCTGTTAATTTCTTCCTTACCCAACCAATTTGTTTCCCAATTAAAAACTTCATAATTTATTCATTGATTTTATATTTTCAAGTACCTATTTGGTTTCGTGTCGTATCTTCAAATGCCTGTAACTCTGTAAAAACAACTGCTCATATATATTTCCTATTGTAGGTTTCAATATGGGTTGAATAGGATAATGTTCTAGTTTGGCAATAAGTTTGGTATTCTTGTCGTGCGCAGTCTATCGCACACTTGTCATCTACCATGTTTATTCAGTGTACCGCACATGTATATACACATCATAATATGCGGTATATCACATACTTTAATAGTTAAAATAGTAGAACTATAGTAGAGTTAAAGTATATTTGATTTAATTATGTACAATAATTATAATAATGTCCTATATCCATTCATCCGAGTGTATTTCTGTACCAATTTCAATTTCATTTTTAACTATCCCGTGTAATGTCTGCCTGTCTCTTGTTTCTATGACAATGTATCTTGCCTTGATAACACCATTTTCTTCTTTTTGACACATACCAAACACCCATTGACATAATTTTGATTACTAAAACATAAATTTATCCAGTTGTGCACTGTGTGACTTCCATATCCTGTTAATTTTAGTATGGTACCCATTTGTAGTTATTTCAAGACACCAATAATATGCTGATTCTAAAATTTCTAACAGCTATAAACCACTATTTCATTGTTCATTTTTATCTTTATACGTGAAAAAAAGTGTTGCCTTTGAGAAACAGATTGAGGTTTTTGGCAACTTCTTTTAGTACATCACATGATAGCTCAATATTTTCCCCGTTATTTCCTAGCATAACATTTTTTTGACGAGCCACAGTTTACACAAGGAGGAGTATCAATTTTAATAAGACCCTTTTCCTTTAAAAAAGCTATTGTATTCTCCTCTGATTAAATAATTACATTGAAATGTTTGTCTAACATAATGTTTGAACATAAAAAAAATGTATCACATAGGTATTACAGCACAATGCACAAACTAAACTGATTATTTCATATGTGTAGGACTAATAATTCTGATTATTGGTAGTTCGGTGTTTTATTATAGTATTATATTATTGATATAGAAGTAACATCATTAAGTTAACTTTAATCTTCATTGAATAGTCGAATTGTTGAGAATAATCATAGGTAGACAATATGTATGTGATAGACCGCATATGTCTTCAGAAACATAATGTTTTTTAGATGACAAGTATGCGGTAGACCGAATATGACTTGTAGAAATGTGCCGTAGACCACACGCGACAAGAATACAATTAGTTCAAAGTTGTATAAAATGCAGTCAAATATTGCTGATGTTGCTGATAACTTATATTAAAGTTTATAACTTCTAATTACCTACCTATCTATTATATTTTTAAATTTCCAACTGTTGAATATTTTTTGTGAACGACTCTTACTGCAAGACTTTCTTGATAATTGTATCAGGCATTGCAGGTTATATTTTATGGCTTACCTAATTCAAAAATGTATATTCTTTATCAATAAATTGATAATTAGTGGTGTATACTTATATTGAGAAACTTACCAACAAGTCACAGCCTCTTACATAATTACTTAATTAATCACATTTTCAATTAATTTACAAACACCATGAATATAGGTTTATCCCGCTCCAAACTTTTAAAGTTCTTACATCAATAGATTATCCTTAATCAAGTTGATATTATAAATTCCAAATCCAAGTTAACTAAGTTTGACTGTATTTTTATGAATTTTTGTTTAACAATTTGTTTTAAGTTTCTTATTTTAATACGTTTAATTTCACATTCAATCAGTTCATAACGGGTTCATAATTGTTTGCACTTACCTTTTTAAGTTAAAATCATAGCTGCTTCTTTATTTATAAATGAAATATCATATTAAATAACACACTTTATTACTAAATAAATAAAGAACAGAAAAATAAAATTAATAAAAAAAAACTTATTTTGTATACATTTATTTATTTTAATTATTAACGCCGAAAGACATAGAGTACATAATATGTAGAATAAAATAAGTAACAAAAACAATAATATAAAAATTCAAATCTATATAAAGTAATGTAAGTGTTATTAACAGATAAAGAATATAATTTATAAGTAACACTTTTTTGTTAGGTAGTTATAGAGAACACAAAAATTCATTAAGAAAAATGATTCTTTGATTCTAATTATATAATCAACGCAAATCACAATATTGCCTCTGAATTCTGAAGATTTTATATTAAGCATTCTACATTATTCTTCACTTCAACAGTCTTAAATACTAATAAAAGCATATGTTTAGAATTGATTGTTATTGCCTCTTTATTTTTTCCAAAATTTGTTATCAAAGAGGAACTATAGTCCATGGTCAAAAAGGTATATGTAAATTTGTACCATAACCAAAATAATTTACTATTTAAAAATACACATTGGTCAAGAAGTCATTGAAGTGCTTGTATTACATAATTGTTTTATTATTATTTACAAGTTGGTGATTTACAATTTTTTCTTTTAAGTGTTTCTTAATAATATTATTTATTTCTGAATATCTTTCAAAAACTTTTCTTCAATTTATATCATTTTTTACTAGGTACATTTAATATTTCAAGTACCTATCTATAATTACTAAATATTTTTCTTGTTTTTATCTATTTGGTATCATAATATTTGTTAATCTCTTATTGACCTTCTATATTTCTTTATGAATAATATATTATCAAATAAAACACAAACGTGTGTATAGATATAATAAGTGACTATAAAACAATAGACAAGATTTCAGTTCCAAAAGAAGATATGAAATGATTTATTGTCCCATATGTTTGTTTATTACGTTATTATTTGATTTATTGCAACATATTGTAAATCTTTAAAATCGAAATTCATATAATAACTAAATATTATGAAACTTAATCCTAATTTAATTAGTTATGAATGAGTGGACTATTTGCAAAATATAAAATTAGATAATGATACATTAATATTATGGCTCGTGTTATTGTAATTGTCAATAGACATAGTGTATATTAACTATTTACTTGTTCTTTCATTTTTTTAAACTATAAGAATGATTAAATTTTCCAAAGTTGTTTTGGGTATGTAAAAATAAATTATAACAATGTACATATATACTTATGTGCTATCTAAATTTACCTGTTAGCTATCATTGAAGATTTGTATTAGGATATTAAATAATAAATGAATTCTTTAATCATATTTGTAAACAATTTTATTACGACTGTTATTAAAATAAAATGTTTAAATTACTTGTTTGCAATTTACTTATAAAACTAATTATTTTATTGTTTTTAAAATTCAGAAATATGTTTCTCTTCAAGTATGGAAAATTTACCATTAACAAGCAATGTTCGAAAAAATGATCTCCCCAATAAGCCTTCTACATCCTATCAGGCTGTTAAACAGGTATTAATTGCAAATTGAGTAAAAATTGCTTCTTTTGTAGTTGAATGTGAATGTCAGTTTGAAAATAACTTTGTTGATAATATTTTTTGGTACCTTCAGCTTTTAAATAATTTATTTTGAATCTATTAGTTTGGAGTGAAACTTGAATTTATTGTGAAATATTTTAATTTAGTTTGCTTACTAGGTATCTTGATCATAAATAAAACATAGCTTATATTTTTTAGTCACATTCATAGATTTATAAACTATTTATCTGTATGTTCTCTTTATCTAGCATTTTGAGGGGCGTTACTGATATCAAACTAATATCAATAAATAATATTGTAGATTGCTAATTTAAATATAAATTAAATATTTTCAATCAATAAACAATGTATTTACTTATTCAATTGGTACCTATCCCATATTAATAAATATTATATATTCATTGTGTTTAAAGTAATTTAATATATTTAAAAATACCTTAGACAAAATTAATAGGTAATAGAATTTATAAAACTTATTTTTAACTCTTCTCAATATAATATATTTTATTTTATTCCATTTTATAATTACCCAACTTTTATTTAAATTTGTTTAAAAAAAAAAAAAAAAATAATGATATGATTAAATTATATTATTATAATATGCTTAGGACGGTGTATATACATTATACATATATGAAGCCTATCAAAAACACTGGATTTAACATTATGATTATTTTTTTTACAATTTTAACTGCATAATGTTGTTGCTATGCTCTTTTAATATGGAAAGATTGAATTAATATAATGGTTAATCTTTCAATATTGATTATCTATATCATTTTTAACATGCTACAAAAATGTCATCTTTTTATTTAAATTGAATTGAGTTTATATGTATTAACATGTTATATAATTGATTTTAGACAATTTACTTTTTAATTATGATTTTGTATTGTTTTTATATTTATTAATTATCTAATAGTATTATTTTTGTAATTTTAAATAGTATATAGTCCAGTTATCTAACATATTATTATTTTTTAGTAATAATATACTTGAGATTTCCTATTTATACTTTTGTAATAATTATATTTATTACATTCCAAATATTAATATGATATGTAGTTTCACATTTATAACTGAATTATCGGTTGATAAATAATAAATAGCAATTGGCAATAATAATACTATTAGATCAGGTATTATGCGTATCTATACGTTGAGCAATTTTTAGGTGGTGGTTTGTAGCCTGTACTGTGTAGTTAGTTGATGTCTATTCAATATCACATTTTCAAAATTTTATAATATGAGAGTAAGTGTTTACATAATTATGCACATTTATAATTATTATTTTTTATTCTGTGCACTTACAATTGAATAACATTTAAGTTTGACACATAACACAACTTTCTATATTTTTGTTACAATTATAGGTGAAAAAATTAACTGAAAGAAATGTGGGAATTAGTTCGGACGATGATATGATAGACATTACAACTTCAGGAACAATGACTGAACGTACTTTAAATCAGAGATCACCAATTAATTTACCAGGTAATATAATTATATTTAATATAGTCAGTGCTTGAATTGGATGGGGTGACATAGAGGACGAAAAACTCCTTATTTAAAACTATTCTAACGTATCTCTGCTATAATTATATATTTATATCCCAATTAATATGAAATCAAAATCTTCAGATAATCAACTTTTATATTTTTGTATTCCCCTTCTATTTTTTTTTCAATAGCCATTGTATCATGTATCTATACATAGCGGCTGTCAAACAGTAGCAATGATAGAGTTAGATCCTCCATAACCTTTTTATCAATATTTATAACAATATAAATTATAAATTATATTTTTATAACCGAGTGCATATTAAAAGTCAACCACTCCCCCTAACATGACAAAATCATTTGATCCCCATTGCTTATTCAACAATACATGAAATGCTACTGATTTAAAACAAAGAGATCACTAGACCTCTAAATAAGTTATTGTTCTTGTAAATTCTGTATATTTTTATGTTGTTAAAATAATGAAGAAAAGCTTTCTGTAAACTATTTCATTTTTTTGGCCCATAATATTTTATAAAAAAAATTAATTTATAAGTACTTAGCTATTGTTAAACACAAGAAGAATACTAGTTATAAATTAATGAATAAATAAATTCTATTAGGTAGTGTGAATGACAGTAATCTTATTGACTTAAATAGTTAAATTATGACTAAATAAAATCATAATTTAGTCATGTGTACAATATGTACTTAGTGGTTAAAAAGACAAAACATTATTTGATTAAAGAATTTACCTAATAATACTGTAGTGCTATACTGCCAATAGCACTTAACGATTTTCAACCTTTTTTGTAGTAACAACTTTTATGATTTTTTATTCACTTAATTACTTTATAGTTTTATACAGTGTATTATAACATGTTTCTTTGTAAATATACATACGTCATACATCATATGTTATGGTATTATTTAAATATAAATATCATAGAGATTTTTTAAATTAATTTCATACTTTTGTGAACGGTGAAAGTATTTTTAAGAATTATTGTATTAGTTAATACCAAAGTTAATACTTTGTTATTACAACTACTAAGCTTACTTTGAATTTTTATTTAAATTGTATCATATTACATATTATATTATTTGCATTTAGTTAAACTAACCTTTTCATAAAAATGCAATATTTTGTGTACAATTTGCTAATAGCTTAAATATTTTTATTTTGAAAAAATACAATAATAAGATAATTTAATATAAAATTTAATTATTATTTTAAAATCTAATTTTTTGAAATGTAGGTGATTAAAGTAAAAAAAATCAAAATATTTTACTTACTTGATATTTTGTCTTTAAAAGTTCTAAATTGATCGATTTAAAATACAGGGTTAGGTGTAATTTATTATGACAGTATTTAATTTAAAATTTAAATTTGAAAATCAGTGATGTCTAAATAATTGTATTTTTAGCTTAACAATTATTTTATGCAAAAAATTTGTATTTTGATTCGGACATCAAATATTTTTATAAAAATAAATTTTCTCATTACAATTAATAATAACTAATAAGTCTTAACATAGTTTTTAAACATATATGTTTTTGTTTTATGTTAAAACATTATAACAATTGAAGGTATTGATGTCATTTTTGCGGGAACAATAAATTTTGGTGAGTTGTGTCTCTTATAAGTCATGAGTATTATGACAATTTTTTTTATTGAACTTGTAGTTTGTTGGCTTTTAGAACCATTAGAAGTTTTTGGTTTCAGTGATTACAATTCTAAATTTTTGTTTTATTTATATTATATTGAGCTTAAAACCTATGTTAAATATTAGATCTTGAAATTGAATTGTTTCCATGCCCCTTGCCCTGAAGTTTCCTTAGCTAACATACCCATCCCTTCATCTCAATCGGTTAAGTATCTAGGCCTAACCATTGATCGGCGACTCACCTGGGTGAAACACGTATGAAAAAAAAACTAACTCATTTAAAAATCCTTAATTAAGCCTATGTGGAAATATGGACTACAACTCTGGGGTAATGCCAAAAAATTCAACCTTAACAAAATACAAACCATTCATAACAAAATACTGTTCTCCATCACCAATGCCCTATTTTACATTTCTAATTTTACTCTTCATTCTGATTTAAAAATCAAAACCATTCATGAAGAAGCTAAAACGTACTATAAACGTTTCTTCAACAAATTGTCTTCTCATCCTAACCCTCTAATATCCGGTCTAGCCACTCTCACAATTCCAGGAAATCCACCACGGCGACTAAAAAAAAATTGGTGCAGAGATCTTCTTAATGATCAACAAAAAAAAAATGTATACATATATAATTAACTATTATTAACAACTACTTTCTAAAAAAATATGTAAATAATAAATATATTAAGCAAAAGGAAGTGCGATCACTGGATGGTTTCTTCCCTCACCCTATTCATGTTTATACATTTATTATAGCCCATATTCTGATTATGCTTTTATGTATAGATTATATATTCTCTAATAAAAAATTTAAAAAAAAAATTGAATTGTTATAAACAATAAAAATGTATTGTAAGTTATGCAATAGTAACTTATTTGTTACTTGTAGATTAGTTAAGAATTATTATCTATAATATTATATGATAAATGATTATATCCATTTGTTGTAATACTAAGTAATTAACTAATGATAAACATTTAAATTATTTCTTTTTGTCTAGGATGGTTATTATTTGTCTGGTAACAACAATATATTTAGAAATAAATAAATATAAAACACGAGTACCTAACATATATACATATTTTTAGTTGTGTAAAGTACTTGTAAGTCGTTATTGGTTGAAATTATTTAGTTTTTACTATATTTCCACAATTATATTATAATATAACACCAGAAAAAACAAATTAATGCCTACATATTTTATTGTATTCCTAACTATCTATAATTATTTTGGTTAAACCTTGTTAATATATTAATGGAAAATTATGTTTTTTGTTTTGAGATTTTGATCTAACAAATTTAAATTTTCAATCATTTATTTATTATTTAATTTGTCTCGTTTGATTATTGAGTGGGAGTAAAATTGATTGTAAAGTTTGGTGCAATAAATTTAATTTAATTTTTTGTTATTTAATTATAACTATTGATAATACTAATAACTAATTGGGTTTTATTCCAAAAATAGCATTTGTTATCCAAATATTCTAACTAAAGACATTAACACTATCACTATTCACAAGTAGATGAGTAACGCAAATGCACAAATTATGTTATTTTTCAATTTCACCCTGCTTTATGTGTTAGTTATTGTACAAACAATTATTCTTCTAAAATTTAACAAGTAAAAATGTGTAGTTATTCAAAATGTAGAACAATACTTAATTTGTATTCAGAGTATCGCAAGACAGTTTCTTTAGGAGGTAAGGTAGATTGCTTATTGAATTAGAAAAATTAATTTTTGTGGTTGCTTTATTCCTTTAAGTATTGTTTTTATATCATAAAATTAAGAAATCATATTTGTAAAATATACAACAATTAATAACAATGTGCTCTTGAATTCACCTTGTACAAGACCTCCTTCCAAATTGTAATTAAATTTATAACATGTATTATTTTGTGTTTATATTTATAGGATCTGGTGAAACTGAGGATATTCCTGGAATTGGGCAGTATGAAGATTTTCATACAATTGATTGGCAGCGAGATATTGCAAGAGATCGGATGCGACATAGATATATTCTAAAACGCAAACAAAATTCATTTATTGATCTAGTATGATAATATTTTAACTTACTTATTAAACTAAGTATTATTAAATATTTAAAAATTGAATTAGATAAAATCAGCTCAAGATGCATGGTCTGGTTGGCTTTGCGTATTATTGGTGGGACTTGTGACTGGAACTGTTGCAGCAATAATCGACATTGGAACATCATGGATGTCAGATCTAAAATTTGGCATTTGTCCTCAAGCATTTTGGTTAAACATGGAACAATGTTGTTGGTCATCAAATGAAACTTCATTCGAGCTAGATAAAGGAAACTGTTCACAAGTAAATGCTTATTGTATTTAATTGATACTAAAAATATGCATATCCTATTACCTAATTTAAAAAACCAGTATATTTTCTAAGACAAAATAGTATTAAAAAATGTTCATTAAAATTGTATTTATTCAAGTTATATTTTTTTATTTATTTTAGTGGTTTTATTGGTCCGAAATAATGACTTCTTCAAACTATGGACCTTTTGCCTACATTGTATCATATTTATTTTACATTGCTTGGGCATTACTATTTGCTGCCCTTGCTGCTGGTTTAGTCAGAATGTTTGCCCCCTATGCATGTGGATCTGGTGTCCCAGAGGTAATGTTCCTTTCTTATTTTTAATTAGTACACCCCTAGGATAGGTGGTTTGTCCTTTTTTTAATAATATTAATAAAATTTAAAAAATATATAATTGAAATATACACGTGTGTGATAAAAACTATAATTAAAAATATTTCTTTTTTAATTTTTTTTCCTAGGAATTTTACCCCCAACGTTTTATGTGCTCTTAACTGTAATCTTACTTGACATATACTTATTAAAATTATATCTTATTTATATTGTATTATACTCGCTCAAGCACATTATAAAAAACTCGCTCAATATTATAATAATAATAAAAAATATATTTTATCATCAATAACAAAAAAAAGCTTAAGAGAATGCTACACATGTATGTGTTGTTGTGTCTTAATATCTTACAACCGTACCAACTTGCATTAGCAGAACCAATTTTGTGTTTCTATCTTTAATATTACATTGACATATCAAATTTGTAGATACACACTACAGTGTAATTATTGAAATGTATGAACCTTAAATTATATATGTAACATTTATACATTAAAAGTTTTAACCATCAGATAATCATCAAGTATTTACACCCAATTATGGTTAGAACATATTTATGAAATTTAAATGTGGTTTTACAGATAAAAACAATTTTAAGTGGTTTTATAATTAGAGGGTACTTAGGAAAGTGGACTCTACTGATAAAATCTGTTGGAATAATGATGTGTGTTTCGGCTGGTCTCAGCTTGGGTAAAGAAGGACCTATGGTACATATAGCTTCATGTATTGGTAAGTAGAATTTTTGTAATCAGTACTAATATTAAAATATATTTTTTTCCTGGTTACTGTTATAGGTAATATTTTATCATATTTGTTCCCTAAGTATGGTCGAAATGAAGCTAAAAAGAGAGAAATATTGTCAGCAGCAGCAGCTGCCGGGGTTTCTGTTGCTTTTGGGGCTCCAATTGGTGGAGTCCTTTTTAGTTTAGAAGAGGTAATTAATTTCAATTTTTAAATAAGAACATAATTACCATATGTTTGTTGCACAAGATACTTATGTATCCCAAGATTGTATATTACAGATGCATCTATGACCTGGAAGATTAACTGTGTAACTTTGAGTGCCATGGTCAAAAACATGTTTTGGGAAAAATTAAGAAATATTAAGGAAACATGAAACCTGCATGTGTTGTGTCCATCTTACAAATGTACAACATGGCAAAAACTGTTTGGCGCTAAATAGAACCACTGAAGCTGTAGTCCCAAGCTAAGCAACCAAATTTTTGTACTATTAAGTGGAGATCATTAACTGCACAACATCATTAATATTTTTTGATATCACTAATAAAAAAAAAAGTTATTCAAGTTTGAAATGAAATAATATATTTTTAAACAAAAAGAGCTTTTCTTGTATTTTTGAAATCAAAAAATCAAAACGATATGGCACAGTAAATAATCTCCTCTAATAGTATGAAAATTTGGTTGCTTAGCTTGGACTACAGCTTGAGTGGGGTTCTATTTTGAACCAGTTTTTGTTATGTTGAACGTTTGTAAGACAGAGACAACACTTGTGGGTGTGGTTTGCTCTTAATATATTTTTTTATCCGAATCAATAATTATATCTGAAAAATTATTTTATTATGTTTTTAAACATACAGTAAAACTCACTTAAGATGCTTTTTAAGGGACAAGCTCTTTGGAGCGTCTTAAGCGGGAAAGCGTTTTATGCGGGAATGAAAAATAATAAGTGATTGAAGTATGGGATTAATTTTTTTATTATTGAACATAATTTAACAGGCAATACACTTATAAATTAATTATAATTACATATATGTATATATTTTTTTACTTTTGAATTTCATATAAAAAAAATAAAATAAAACGATAAGAACACGTCAACTAGTAAAATTTCTATTTTAGTATAAAAAATCTAATATAATTTATTGTAATCTGCTGAATAAAAGAGCGTTTTATCCGATGCGATAGAAAAAAATTGAGGGCTTAACAGGTGGTTTTTACATTGACTAGTATAGGAAATGTCTAGGGACTGAAAGAAAACAGCATCTTATGCGAGAGTGTCTTAAGCGAGTTTAGTACAAATATTAATGATAATACATTTTTTCACATTAAATATGATATAAATTGAGTTTGGTAGTAATAATTAATAACAAATTAAAAATAATTTGAATGGTTCAGAACAATAAGCAGTATTGGGTTTACAGTTGAGGTGTGTGACAACTGACATCACAAAATATTGTGTAACTAACAAAGGGTTAAAGTAACAAACTTTTTTAAATTTAAATTTTTTTTTAAGGTTAGCTATTATTTTCCATTGAAAACTTTATGGCGTTCATTCTTTTGTGCTCTCGTTGCTGCATTTGTGCTTAGTTCAATCAATCCATTTGGCAACGAACATTCTGTTATGTTCTACGTCGAATATCACAGACCATGGATGTTTTTTGAACTTATACCATTTATTGGATTGGGAATTATTGGAGTAATTAAGTTTAAATTTATATTTATATTTAATTTTGCAATAACTTTTATACAATTATTGAATTTAGGGTGTGATAGCAACAGTTTTTATCAAATGCAATATTAAATGGTGTCGGTTTCGTAAAACCTCTATCCTCGGACAATATCCAGTCATGGAAGTACTATTACTTACAGCTGTAACAGCAATACTTTCATATCCCAATCCATATACGCGCATGGGAACTAGTCAATTAATTTATCTTCTTTTCAGTCAATGTGATGTATCTAGTAATGATGGTTTGTGGTGAGAGTTGATATATGAAATTAAAATTTTAAATTTTTAAAATTTGATCTTATAATGTTTAGCGATTATACAAACGATAAAGCAAATGTAGCTGGACCTGGTGTATACACAGCTATGTTACTTCTATCAATGGCATTTGTCTTGAAATTAGTCACTACAATTTTTACATTTGGAATAAAGGTATAAGAATCAAGAAAATTGAATGTTACTTTAATTGTATAGCTGATTTTATAATATGTATAATGTTCTACTATGTTTTGCAGGTACCTTGTGGTCTGTTTATTCCGAGTTTGGCTATGGGCGGTATTACTGGTCGTATTGTTGGTATTCTGATGCAACAATTAGCTGCCAAACACCCCCATTTATGGTTTTTTGACAATAGTTGTGGATTACCTGGCCAAGAAGGCTGCATTACTCCTGGCTTATATGCCATGGTAGGTGCTGCTGCTGTTCTAGGAGGAGTAACCCGAATGACTGGTAACAAGATTACTCAATGTTAACTATTGAGTATTATAAATTTCAATGAAAGTTACACAGTGCAATACATATATAAACTTTTTTAAACATACAATTTTTAGTTTCATTGGTAGTCATTATGTTTGAATTGACTGGTGGTGTGAGATACATAGTTCCATTGATGGCAGCTGTCATGGCTAGCAAATGGGTTGGTGATGCACTGGGCAAAGAAGGAATGTATGATGCTCATATTCAATTAAATGGTTATCCGTTTTTGGATAGTAAAGAAGATATTGTTCACACAGCCTTGGCAGCTGATGTTATGCAGCCTCGGTTAGTATTAACATTTTTTTATCAATAATAACAATTTGAAAAAATTAAAGTAGATGTATAATTGAAGAAAATGTACATACAAACATTTAATAATATTAATACAAATGAATTGTAATTTATAATTATCATAATTAAATATAGTCGGGCTGAAAATTTGAATGTTCTCACTCAGTCTTCAATGTCACTAGAAGATACCGAAATATTACTAAAAGAAACTGAACATAATGGATTTCCAGTAGTGGTGTCTCGTGAATCTCAATATCTTGTTGGATATGTGTTGCGTAGAGATTTGCAATTGGCATTAGGTAAGGTTCAACTTATTAACTTATATTATGTGCTTTATAAATAATAATTATAAAAATAATTTCAGAAAATTCAAAACGAACCATTGATGGACTTTTACCTGAATCTTTAGTTCTGTTTACTGACATAACTCAACAAGTAATGCCACCACCTTTAAAATTAAAAAAAATTCTGGATATGGCCCCAATTACAATAACCGATCAAACGCCTATGGAAACTGTGGTCGATATGTTCAGAAAATTAGGACTTCGCCAAACATTGGTTACACACAATGGGTTTGTAGCTTGATGTTAATCAAATTTTTTTTTTAACTTGTACCTACAATTTTTTTATTCTTTTATTGATTTTCCAGGAGACTTTTGGGAGTAATAACTAAGAAAGATATTTTACGTTACATTAAACAGGTTGATAATGAAGATCCCAGTTCTGTACTCTTCCATTGACGTTCATTAATTAACCATATGGATTTTGTATCCATTATTTAGCTCAATTTTCATATTTCTGTTTATATATTTTAATAATTTTTTTTTCAAAGTTTTGTTTTAGAAACTTAATTTAAAAAACATTATAATAGTAGTTTCCTTGATATTTAAATTAAGTAAATATTTGGGAAAGGTTAATTGTGAATAATAGTTTACTCAAAAATTAAATATTATATAAAAATTATAACTATGTTTATCGACTATGAACATTGTAAGATGCATTTTGAATGTATGGGTTTGCTCGTAGATGGTAATAAATAACAACCTAAAGTATATTATTAAAAATAAATAATATTATATTTTTTGTTGTAAATACTATAATTATTGACTTAAATTCATTGAGAAAAATCTCTTTACTTCATTTAGTCTGTTAGTATGTATGTATACTATTATATGTGTTTGTAACGATTATTGTAATTTCGTATTTTCCTTAAACATTAAATTTAATATTTTGATTTTGTATCTCTTCACAAAATAAATGGCTTAACTAAAGTCTTAAATTATTACACTAATGCAGGGTTGCATAAAAATTCTAATCATTTAATGGTTCAATAAAATGTAATGAGCAACTAAATCATGTTTAAGTGCTGTTTAATTAGTTCACTATTGATTAATTAAATGTTTAGTGTTTGTTCATGCAACCTGGCATATAGGTGATGTACTGATGTGCCATTTAAAATTATCTATAATAATATAATATATTTTACTTTTATTATCTTAAGACAACAATCAATTTTACTTTTAAATTTTCATAAATTATTACTACTAACAACAAAATAATATGATATTTCCATGCAGTTAAAATAAAGCTAAAAAAAATATGGAAAACCATTTGGTATTCTTTATTGTGTTAAATAATCTATACTAATTAATCTATATATATGTATTAATAGACTATTATTTAATAATTATAATTATAAGTTGAATTGTAATATGTGGCCTCGTGGGGCAAGTATATATTGTATCGAGCAAACCTTTGAGTTTTTTTAATATAATTTAATCATAATATTATACATCATTTTTTTTAAATTTATTGCTGGTAGCTAAATAGAAAATTATCTTGTTCAACTGTACAATAAACCGTCAATTTTATACATTTTTTTATTTGCTATTTTTAGATTGTTAATTACTTTTACATTATACTTTAGAGTATGGGTGACGGTAATACCAGTATCTTATGACATTAAATGTCCTACCAAAATATTAATGTAAAAAAAATAGTCACCCCTACTATAAAGTATAGACTATTGACTATCTTCAACCAGTTGAACTGGTGGGTCGCTCTTGTTTCAAAATGTATTTGCTGTATACTTTTAATGTAATAAAAACAAACAGTAAAAATGTATTTCATTCAACTGTATGAAGCGAATAAAATGTATATTTACGTATAAATAATTCAATGACTTAAATTAATAAATATCACTTTACTTTCTAATAAAATTGGATCAAATATTTAATTATAAAATAAGCTTGTAAAATTAACTCAATCTAGATAGGCATGCTGTATTATTAATAATAAAATAAATTACATCAATAGCTACAATATTACGCCTTTATGCGTGTGTGTATACTGCTTGTCAATCCATGAGCTGATTTTGGGGAGCTTTAATAATATTATATATACAGTAATTTTTTTTTATTATTATTTATTTTTTTATTAAAGCTTTCAACAAAAATTAAAAGCTCAACGCAAGGGTGGTGGGTAAAAGGGGATATAGAAATACATAAAAACCGGATTTATTCCTTTTCTATTGCAATAAACTAAAAGCTTCTTATAGTTCACTTAATGTATCTACTTCAAGAACAAAATCTGTGAGCATATATTTATTTTCTAAAAAAATAGAGCTAATTTTTATTAGAAAACAAGTGTTGTTTACTTATCTACTTATGTTAAATTATTTTACCCTTCTACTTGATTTTCTTTTAAAATTATTTGAGTATTAAAATGTTTGTGTTTATTATTTATAAAAACGTTTTTCTAACTTGGTTTGTAGTAGGCATAATGTATAAAGTGCTTGAAATTGGGTATAAATATGTTGAAGATTTCACAGTGTATAGAGGATAACAATAATAGTTGGTTTAATAAGTAAATAATGACGAAAAGTTTGGGGTTTAATATGTTTAAACTAGGTACAGCAAAATAGGTACCTACCTGAAATCGTTTTCACCATAAATTGAACTTGTAATACTTTTTTTTTTTTAAAAACGACATTCATTTTAAATGTTGCTGTTTTTTATTTTCACAAAGACTCGATTTCCAAATTTCCGGGGGAATTCGACGGCCTTTGAGTGGGGTGCTTTTCGTATAGTGTAATACCGTGGATGCTGTACATCGCTTTCTTTAACACTTGTTTTCTACCGTGCTTTGGTACCACGCTGAGGCCCATTTTATTAAAGTTCCATCCGTATTTATAGTTGTTTGTCGGACACACCCTGTACTTTTCGTCTGGCGAAAAAGCGTTTCTCGTTTTCAAATAACGATATCGGCCTTCTTCGTTCCTGCTTATGCCTGCATAATAACATTTGTAGGTATTTACATTTTATCATAATATAGGTAATGTAAGGTGTACAAATTATAACAACTATTAAGTATTATTATTGTAATTACTATTTGTAAATTGTAATGTATCATCATATTGATTTTACAGTTTTAAACATCAAAATATACCTTTGTATGTCTACGATCTACCTGTACAAAATAGTTATGCATAACCTGCCATATTTTAACATAGGTAACTGTTATGTTGAGTTTTTCAAGAAGACAACAAAAATATAATTACCTATCAGTATGCCAACTTGTAAACACCGGAATGTAAAGAAGTAGGAACAAACATTTTTTTGTTAATTAGGTACCTACCACCTATAAATCTTTTGACCTAATCCAACAACTAAGTTTTAACATTGCCAAGAAAAAAAAATATACGAAATTTTGGTAAACCTAGGCAAACAAGTAATTTTTACTATGTCATTTTGTAATTTGTTATAACTACCTATGTCAAAACAAATCATTTTTAATAAAGTAGTAAAAATTATATTTCTGTAGTGGAAGTGGATACAGAATAATATAATAAATAATAATAATATACACAAGAATTTCTATTGCGTTTACCAAACGTGGCTGTATAGCTATTAACAAAATAATATTGTGTCGTTGTTTTTATTTTGTTGTATTATATTGTTATAACTAGGGCTGGGATTTTAATGCTCTAAAAAAACCAGAAAAATGTCCTAAAAAAATGCTTTTATGACCTAAAAACTCTAAATAATGCCCTAAAAAACCCCGAAAAATGCCCTAAAAAAAATGCTTTTATGATCTACAATTTTTTTTATTTTTAATAATTTTAGTATAAATTACAATAAAAAGTTTTAAAAAATGCATTATAAAAATCTATTGCAAGTGTAAATTGTAAATACATAGTTTTAGTATAAATCTAAAAAAAAAGTCGATTGTCCGATAATATAATACGAATTACGAGTACCTACTTATAATCTGTTATTTTTATTTAAAAACCATGTTGGTGTAAAAATCTTCAAATCTTCAAATAAAATTTCAAATTCATACACTTGGTTTCCAAAAACTCAAAAAATGCTCCAAAAATTCTAAAATGCCCTAACAAATTAAGAAAATGACCTAAAAACTAAAAAATGCCAAAAAAT